TACTATTATTTAGCTATTTAGAGCAGGTACATCTGTGTGTGATGCTTTTGCCATTTCAGAGGAAAATAATAATTGTATTTATTTAATAATTTTTGTTTCAGTCCACTATAGAATTATGTTGTTTGGTCTATGAAAAAAAAGTGTTAGTTGTGAAATGGTTGAGTATTAACAAAATAGTTTTTTAAAAGTTAAAATTATACTTTATCCATTTGTTGTGTCAAATGATTAACAATATAAAATGAATAAAGCTTTAAACAAAAATAATCATAAAATTAAAACAAAGCTTGAACATTTGATTGAATTGAAAAGCATTTTTAATAGTAGTATATTGTCTTTTGTTAATAGGACAAATAATTATTATATTTTATAATATTTGATATATATATATATATATATATATATATATATACATACATACAGGTGAAACTCGAAAAATTCGAATATCGTGCAAAAGTTATCATTTTGATAATTATGGCTTACAGATTATGAAAACCCCAAATTTAAAATCTCAGAAAATTTGAATATTACATGAAATCAATACAAAAAAGGATTTTAAATACAGAAATGTCGGCCCTCTGAAAAGTATAATCATGCATATGTATATATAATCATGCATATGTATATATATATACTAAATATATTAGTTTCACCTTTTAATTTGAATTACTGAATTACATGTAATTTTGCACAACTTTTGCACAATATTCTAATTTTTCGAGTTTCACCTGTATACACACAACTATATATATATATATACACATCTTAAACATATGTTTAATTAAATCGTATAAATAAATATTTATAATAGCATTGTTTTAAACTTTGAAACGTTCTAAAACACAGAAGTAGCGCAATGCCTGGCCACGCCCACTTCCGGCATCAGACTGTCAGGCTGGCGCTGTCGTCCTCACACTGCTATGACGTATGGTTCTGCGGTTCTGCAGTCGGACCTGCTGAGCTGACTGCTTCAGGCGTAGTCTGAACATTGCTGATCGTTCGTCTGTCAGCAGGTATTGTTCAGCACACTAAAACATTAATTGACAGATGATTTAATTCAATTCATTATAACATTTCCAGACCTGAAGACACTTGTGCAAATATATGAACACATACATTCAATCCCAAAACTCCACAACCGCTGGAATCCATCTGCAGGTCGTGCTTCAGGGTCCGTAATTGCCACTGGGCTGTTTGCTCATCACACCTCAGTTAAATAAAATTCCTAGATGTCGTCGAGACATTTGTACTGTTTAGAATCGAATAGGATGAAAAAAAAGATGAAACAGTTCTAACAAGGTTACTTCCAGTTCCGCAGAATTTTATGTTCATAAGAACGTTCATTTCCCATTGGGTCAATCAGAAGTAGGGATGGCTGACGCGAAACAGTCGTTCCGAAGCTTTGCGAAATCCCGAAGCGCAGATGTTTCGAAACACTGATCCGAAGCGTGATTCAAAACACCCACGTCACGTGACTACGGCTAAATGAAGCTTCTGAGTGTTTCATCAGGTGGAGTGCTCCGCCGAATCAGGGTTTGATTGACAGATCGGTCGGGAAAGATCACACTATCACACACAGTATAAAAGTGAAGTCAACGCATTTTCACATCGTGGGTTTTTGTGAAAGGAGTTTGGTTTTGAGGTAGCGGATTTTTGGTGATATAGTGACATTTATAGTGCGATTTGTTTAGTTATATTTAGGATTCCATTTAAATTTACACATTGACTACGTTTACATGCAGCCAAATTTCGGGTTTTGGTCGGGTTAAGGTCACTATTTGGGTTTCTGAAACATTAGGGATAACCCGTTTACATGCGTGAGCAGAGAGAGTTACTCCTGTATACATGGAATTGCAATATCCCGATGTAAACGCGACGCGCGGTTAGCGTCTGGACGTACGGACAACCTTAAGACGCAATATGCGTCATTTCCGATTCTTCTTCCTGTATCCAAAGACAACAACAACAGCAGCAGCACGCGGATAATGAATAGTTCGGGGCAGATAGCGATCGCCTTTGTTTGCGCTTTGGTGCTGGTAACGTTACTGACCTCGCTCCAAAAGTATGCTGTGCTGCGTCTCGCCATGTTTACTTCCGGTATACTGCACGCGGGGTTTTGTATGCGCCGAGAAGTTTCTCTACTCAAAAGACCAAGATTCCTTGCGAATAGAACATGCGCAGAACACACATCACTATGGGGATATGCCGATGCGCGTTTACATGACCAAAAATTCGGGTTAGAAAAGGGGTACCCCAGGTATAATATCCCGGTTTTTAAAATCCGGGATATGAGCATATTCGGGTTTTTGCCGGTGTTTACATGGCCGTTCGCGACCGGGTTATTGCTAATATCCCGGTTTTGAACGGGTTATTGGCTGCATGTAAACGTAGTCACTGACTGAGAGACAGAGTACATATAGTGACAGATAGATGCATAGATAGAAATATATATAGACAGATAGATTATTAGATATATACATGGATTAATAGATAGATACATAGATACCCAGGTAGCAAACAGACGTTGGGCCAACCTCAATTTTGGTTGGTTACGTTGGCCCAACCTATACAACAGAAATACAACGTTGGGCCAACGTTGGTATGGTCAGCTGCGATGGCCCAACCTATCTGACAGAAATACAACGTTGGTATGGTCAGCTGCGATGGCCACAAAGAAACTCCAACAACACGGTGGACCACGTCTGCAGTTTATTGACAGAGGACAGACAATCAACACACAAGCCTTCAGGTTCGCTCTCTTTCAGCTGACTCTCTCCAGTCACAGGCTGTTCTGAGAGAGCAGTTTATACAATAAAGTCTTGTAATACAACAATCAATTTCTTCCTGCATCTCATTTATGAAAATTCCCATTCACCCACATCAAATTAAATTAAAGAAATTAAATTCCATCAAAAGTACATATTTTTACATTTATATTATAGCCAGTATGTCTCAATGTGTTAGATATAGTGTTTTTTTCCCCTTATTGTTGTTGTTAAACATACCTGCAGTTTATTGACAGAGGACCAGTGTTGGGGAAGTTACTTTTAAAAAGTAGTGTTTTCTCGTTCTTCGGTTACAAAGAAGACCGCGCAACCGGTCCATTGCCAATGACGTCACTCACCGAACAACTAAAAATATTAATTATAAACAAAAATATGTAATTTTCTTGTCTTGCAAAACAAAATAAAGATTATATGGATGACGTAAGTAATTCTATTTACCCAATTTAATAATTAACCAAATAAAAGTTTGCTGGAACAGTTACCAGGAAAACGCCAAACACTAGCCTACATATGCATGCAGCATTTTCATGTTTTACCATTCTTTCCCAGTAAACATGGGGAAAAGAGTGTCTGGCTCCTTTTTATGAGGGTTAGGTTTTATGTTTCCCACCCAGCACCAGAGACGTTGTTTTTTGGACTAAATCAATTCGGCCCGTCATAGCTCATTTAGGGCAAAAATAGACTTTTGAAAAATTGACTGTTTGGTCCGTCTGTTTTGGTCCAAAAAAAAAACTCTTAGGGCGGCGCCAGAGAATTTTAACGCTATAGATCGGGGGTGACCGGGTGAGCTGTGCAATTATATAGCCATGTATAAATAGCCTACTTTTAATAAATTAGCCAAATTTGGCCACTCAATATATCATATTCAATTACTTTAATGATCACAATAAACATGTGTGCGTGCAACAAGCAAGATGTGCATTTGTAAATCCGGTGACACACATGCATTGATTGTTATTGAATTTGATTTTTATTAAAAAAAAAATATTTTATTAAACTGTTTTCTGTGTCAGCTGCTGCAAAAGATGAAGTTGAAGATCTCTATCTCCGTAGTTAACGTGCCTAGAGAGAGAAATGCACATGGATAACATAATCAGAGAGTAGCCTAGCCTATTTCTTTCTTTTTTTTTTTATGTTTTGTTTAAAGACATTTCAAGCTCTCTATAGATATATATTTTTGGTGAGGCATAGGGGCCTACGCTGAGTTCCGGTAAAATTTATGATGAGACGCGCTCCACGAGCAATGCAATAAGTGCAATAAGTGACCGCGCCAGCGGCTCCATGTCATGATTATATTCAATTGTCTGCTATATTTGCTATTATTAAATCCAGGCAATTGGTTGATGCAAATTTTATTAAAATTAAGATACAATTTATACAAAACAAAATTCATATTTTAAGAAAGGTTTTCTACAAAACAAAACTTAGGCCTAATGAAGAAGTGGTCAAAATCCTGTCTGACCAACTCCATGTCTCCCGATATATTACACATCCTATCTTGCTCATGCTGTTCACTTTTCATAATCAACATAGATGGGGGAAAAAACCATTATAATATTTTAACAAATATGAAAATAAATGCGCATATTTAATGGCTACAAAATATAGTAGGCCTACAGTACTGCACACATTTAATTCAGAATTTTGCACACATAAGTTGAAAGGCATTTTTTGTGCATAGTAAAACATATCTGCAACATTTATAAAGTTCACGGATAATTGTGCAAGCATTTATTAATCGTTATGATACTAAAATCATAATAAAGTAGGCTATACTATGTACAAAAAAATCAGATGAGCACAGAATATGAACGCAACGCGTTCCTACACATTAAGCATTTTCCTACCATAGAAAACCATTATAAGAACGCTTGGCTTGCAGACTGGAATGTCCCTGCAATTATTATGTCGAAATAACGAGATATGATCGGAAAAAAAAAATCTTCACCATGTGGTTCAGGGCTTCCATAGAATACAGCCTGAATATAATTGCTTCCAGAAATTATTTTTGGGGGTGCTATCGGTGTGCTTTGGTGTTTCTCCCTAGCGAGTCGCTGTCCGTTTGTCAAGTGCTGAAATGTCACCTTGTAGAATGGATCGTAATTGTAGCAAACGCTTGTATTTGTACAAGCAAAATTGTAGCACAGGCTTGTAGCCTAATTTTTTTCATCTAATGTGCATTTTCGAATTTATTTGATTTAGAATTACCGTTATCTTCCGTTATCTTTTAACCGTTATCTTTCTTCTAGACTTCACTTCAGCCGTTAACGGTAACCCAGCCAGTCCAAGGTAATCTGCTCGATTCAATATATTGTTTTAATATATAAATAATCAATATGTTATCTAGTAAGGCATTATCTGATGTAAATGTAACGTTATCCTTATAATTTAGCCAGCATAATTTACATTCGTAACGATCTACCGTTAGCCTGCTAGCTTCTAACAGTTAACGTTAGATACTGTAGCTAGCATTGTAGCTTTCTAGTCTAGATTAAACATAATCGAAATCAGCTGTAGTTATTTGTTTGGCAGCATACTAACAATGTCTGCAGACATTTATTCAGACAGAACACTTAAACGTCAGGCAAAGCGGAGGGCTTACAATATACTTAGCGAGGTTTGCGTCAGTGCTGAATCTGACGCAGCCGACGTAAACATATGCCTGGAAAAAAACGCCCCTGCTGATGATGTGTGGTTAGATGCTGCATCTGATTGGCCCATGTCCTATGAATCAGACGAGTTAGAGACTGAGTTTAATGTTGACGATAACGTGACTGATGAATTTTGGTCAAATGCTCTGACAGAAACTGACTCAAGTGATGACGAATTTGAGTCTGCAGAGTGTCTTGCTGAGGAGATCAGAGGTTGGGCAATAGACAGCCAAATACCACAATGTCATCTAAATGGGCTGTTGGGCATCCTGAGAAAATATCATCCATATCTCCCAAAGGATTCCCGTACTCTTTTAGGCACTCCAACTAATTATGAGGTCCAGCAGATTGCTGGTGGCACCATGCATTATTTTGGAGTGGAGAAAGGCATTAGGCATGTGTTAAACCAGATAGACCCTCTCCCAAAGGCCATTCATTTACAAGTGAACATTGATGGACTACCTTTGTTCAAAAGCAGCAATAAGCAGTTCTGGCCCATTCTAGGCTTGGTAGAGGAAGACAAAACAAAGCAACCATTCGTCATCGCTTTATATCTTGGATCTAAAAAACCAGAGAATGTCAATCTGTTCCTAGAATCATTTGTGAATGAATATGGAAAGCTTAAATTAGAGGGTGTGGATGTAATTGGCAAATGTGTAGACATTAAAATTTCAAATTTTGTTTGCGATGCAAGTGCGAGGGCTTTCGTAAAAAACATTAAAGCCCACAATGCATACCACGGCTGTGAAAAATGCACACAGGAGGGAACATGGGCGGAAAATCGCATGACTTTTCCTGAAGTAGATTCACCTTTACGGACAGATACGTCTTTTATTAATAAAGACGATGAGTTTCACCATAAAGGGACCAGTGTGTTGACAAGGGTTGGAATTGGTATGGTCTCCCAATTTCCATTAGATGTTATGCATCTGGTTTTTCTTGGGGTTGTGAGAAAGTTGATAGGGTTTTGGATGAGGGGACCACTTCCAACTCGTTTAGGTGCTCATCAGATAGGCCTAATTTCTGCAGTGCTTATGTCCTTTGCCATGAGACTCCCCAGAGAGTTTGCACGAAAAGGGAGATCCCTTGTTGAGGTAGATAGGTGGAAAGCAACAGAGTTCAGAACTTTTCTCCTGTACACTGGTCCAGTAGCACTAAAAGACCATCTGCCGAATGTTCTATACCACAATTTTATGCTTCTGCATGTAGCCATTCGAATATTATGCTGCCCCTCACTGTGTCTCCAGTACTGTGATTTTGCTGAAAAGTTACTAATCACATTTGTTGAGCGTTTTCAATCTGTTTATGGTAATTACGTTGTGTATAACATACACGGGCTGACACATCTTGTCAATGATGTAAGGCAGTTTGGTGTGCTGCATAATTTCGCAGCTTTTCCATTTGAGAACTTTCTCTACACATTAAAAAAATTGATTAGGACCCCTACCCAGCCCCTTCAACAGATCATCAGGAGATTGTCAGAAAAAGCAAGTGTCAGAACTAAAATAAGGGTGTGCAAGGATGGTTTTTACCAGGAACATAAGAATGGGCCTTTTCCATACAATGTGACATCTCAGCAGTTTACACAGTATAAGAAATATGTAAATGGTGGAACTTTAATTAGTTTATCAGAGGGAGACAACTATATTCTGTTCAATGGAGATATTTATATAGTGAAAAACATTTTAAAAGACAAGGAAGCATCACATCTAGTCTGTCTTAAATTCCAAAACAAGTCATCATTTTTCACCTATCCCATTGATTCATCAAGTCTTGATATAACCTTTGTGAAACAACCTGGGCAGTCATTGACTATTGTTCCTACACATGCTGTAAAAGAAGGACTTTTGAAACAGTCTAAGGATGGGTTTGTGGCATATCCTTTACTGCATACTGCTTGATTCCCCCAATAGCCACCCCCCCCCCCCCTTATTATTACTAAAGAATAGTAATAATAAGACTAGGAATTATTTTAGTTAAATAGATTTCCACTGGGTAATTAATAGAGCTTCAATAAATGTATATAGTTGTAACACTAGATATATTGTTTTTTTTGTTTTTGTTTTTTATAGATGTATTCTATAGTTGTTTTTACTGAAAAGAATGAGACAGAGGTAATACCAAGTGACTGGCTGAGCATCGACAAAAAAATTTCCTTTTGGCCCCCATATAACACTACAAAATGTAGAAAAGCGGTTGAAAAAAATGAAACTCCTGATGAAGAATGGGACGAATATATAACTGAATGGGTGGCTGAGTATGGTAAGTCTTTGAGAAATTAATTATGAATCATTATTGAGAAATATAGAGAAATAACTATTCAAAAAATAAAACATACTTCTTGTGAGTTATGCCAAGCAGTTCTTTTCAAATGTTCAGATAATAGGCTTAGTGATGTTATTTGTTTCTATGTTTAGATTCCTATGAAAAAGCCAGAAGAAAGCTGGTGAAATTTTGTAAAGGCAACAGTTTGGAGTCTACAGATGAGGACAGTGTACGGAAAAGAGTGTATGTTTCCTCTGTTCTCTGTTCTCCTTTTATAGCCTACTGCCTATTTGCACTGAGCTTTTAAAAAAATTGATTACACTTAATGTGTCCAACAGACCATCATCAAAATATGTAAATGGTTTTACATCGGATACAGCCTCAGGAAGACCTCCAGTGCAGGCCTCAACAAGCTGGCTCCACACAGGTACAGACGAAAACATACAGTGGTCACTGCATCATTTCCCAACATATCTGGTCACCACAGATTCCTTAAATCCAAGACTTGGGAATATGGTCCCCTTAGAATTAAAGTAATTTCCTGTGTATAAGCCACAGGAGAGTGTTTTATGAAAGGTAAAAAAAACATTAATACCATATTAACTGCTCTCATGTATTAACCTGAAGAAATTTAGAAAAATTAATGTGTAAACTGCGGCTAATAGTTGGGAAATTACAGTATAAGGTTATATCTGACATTTCTGTCAAAATTAAGTTGTAGTAAACTATATTTAATTCCAAGAGGACGATATGTTGAAATGTCACTTTCCTGTTGTATAAGATCGCAGCGAAGCTCTGGATGGAAGTAGGGCCTAAATGTTGTGATGTCTGACATTGTACTGATTCTGTTTCTTACTGTTCCATATGCAGAGACAATGGAAAGACCAAAAAAAAAAAAATTCTGCAGTAACGGAGCCAAAAGCCTGACCTTGCCAGCCATACCACCATTTGCACCATCAGCACCTGCTGTGACAGTCCCTGAACCAAGACAAGATGGTTCGTAGAATTATTCCAAACCTTTTACAATAGTTTTTTGTAATTACCTTTTTAGTCTCTAACATGGATTAGAAACTGTTCAAGCAACAAAATAAAATGTATGTAACCAAAAAGGAGAATAAAACCTGGCTTCGCCTGGCTAAGTTGTACTATTTTCAAATGAAAAACCTTTTAAGCCCTGCTTTTGACAATTAGCCTTAATATCAATGTGCTTTGATTTACAACCACTTTTTTTTTTAATTGGGGACGTTATGTAAAATGCAAAATAAAAACAAAATTCCAAATCTTGCAAAATCATATTTAGCTTGAAAAGGACAGACAATGTTGGGTAACACTTTATAATAACTGTATACTATTAATCATTAGTTAAGCATGAGTAAACAGTTAATTCATCATTTATAAAGTATTAAAGGGATAGTTCGGCCAAAAATGATATTTAAACCATGCATTACTCACCCTCAAGCCGTTCGAGATGCATATGTCAATCTTGTTTCAGACGAACACATTTTCAGTTATTTTAGAAAATGTCTTAGACCCTTCAGTGGATATAATGTGAAGCAATGGGGTCCACCTCCTTCAAGTCCCAAAATGTGCATATATCCTTCACAGAAGTAATCCATCCGGCTCCAGGGGGATAAACGAAGGCCTTATGAGGGTAATCCGTGCGGTTTTGTCGTAAAAATATACATATTTAAAACTTTATAAATGAAAATATCTGACTTCCGGCAACGATCGACGCGCGTCCACGGGTGATGGAAGTCGGCGTACGAGGTAGGACGTAGCGTCGTGACGTAGAACGAACGCGCCCGCGCAGCCAGAGAGCAGAGCAAAACATCACCCGTGAACGTGCGTCGATCGTTGCCGGAAGTCAGATATTTTCATTTATAAAGTTTTAAATATGTATATTTTTACGACAAAACTGCACGGATTACCCTCATAAGGCCTTCGTTTATCCCCCTGGAGCCGGATGGATTACTTCTGTGAAGGATATATGCACATTTTGGGACTTGAAGGAGGTGGACCCCATTGCTTCACATTATATCCACTGAAGGGTCTAAGACATTTTCTAAAATAACTGAAAATGTGTTCGTCTGAAACAAGATTGACATATGCATCTCGAACGGCTTGAGGGTGAGTAATGCATGGTTTAAATATCATTTTTGGCCGAACTATCCCTTTAATAGACATTAATAAGCAGTTTATAAATACAGCTATAAATGCTTTTTTCTTGATTTATAAGCATACCTATAATGTGTTTAATAATTGTATTTACATACTTTGTTAATGATCAATTAATAATTTCTAAATGAAGTATAGCATTATTTACAAACCAGTTATTTAAGAGTTGTCAGTGATTCATAAGATCACTTAGAAAGTGTAAGTAAATGGAGTAAATACAGGTAGTTATAAAGCATTTAGTAGTGGTCAGTTAACTATTTTTGTGAGCTCATCTAAAGTGAGGACTAGTTATGCCTTGTAAAGCGTTTATAAAGGAGATTTAAAGGCTGTTAAATATTTCTATGTTCTGTATCACTGTGTTGTGTTTGTTTCATTTTTCCGTTTAGAAGAAAAATGAGAGTTTTAATCTCCTTCATAAACGCTTTACAAGGCATAACTGTCAAAATGTTGTCATATCAAATGTTGAAAATGTCAAATTTGACTATTTTATGGGAAATGGAAGTACATTTTGAATTTAATGCCAGCAACACGTCTAACATGCATCGCATGTTTGTCTGATTCAGAAAGAGAACTCCGGCTCTACCAGATGCTGGAAGAGATAAAAGGTCAAGTCAGGCAGAATACACTCCTCCTTCAGGCCATTTTGCGAAAAGAGAATGCAGCTGAAGTTGTGAATGAGGAGTTTCATTTTCCAATAAGGAGCATGACAGGCATAAAAGATCTGGAGGATAGCCTGTCAAACAGAGACACACAGCGTTCTCTAGTAAATTCTAATGATGTTCTGTTACTTCACTTAAAAGAATACTAACATATGTAGAGATCTAGACCTGTTTTACTGCTGCTTAACACATGATTTTTTTTCATAGACAAGATATCTTACCAGCTTGGGTGGAACATCAGCCAAAGACATTGTCCACAGGATTATGAGAGAAATAATGACCAATGAGTTGGCCAACAAGTTTAATTGGCAAGGGAGAGGACAGAAGAGTCCATTTTCTACACTTTTGCTAGCAAAAGTTGTCATAGGTGATATGTTTAAAAAACATTCAAAACTAAGACATAACTTTGAAATAGCAAAAGAGGAAACAACCCCTTACAGTTTCACAATGTGTCATTGAATAAAATACAATGCAAGTCAATGAAAGAATGCCAATTAATCCACTAATCATACAGCACTCTACAAAATAACCCTCAGATATGATCTTTCTGCTAACCCTTTCTCTGTTTAATTTTCTTTAATTTCATGCTGACAGATGCAGCCAAAAAACAAGGAGCAAAAGTGGTGGAAGCCGAGGAAAAAATAAAAACCTGGCTGAAGTATAGTGGAGACCGAAATGGAGGAAGAAAAAAAAGAGCAACAGAAAAAGGTACACAAGCCCTTTTTAAGGCTGATCCAATATGCTATTAATTATTATATATATTAATATATAAGTTTTAAGTAATTTACATTTTGATAATTACTATATTTTTTCTTTAACACAGAAAAGCAGATGCCTCCCCCTCAAGCAGATTCCAGCAGCTGTGAAAGTGAATGTAAGTGTCTTCCAATGATTGTTTTTTCTTCCTCTGTCTAACCCCACCACTAAACAGAGGTGTATTTCATCTTTACTAGGCGTACACTAGATGTATAATAAATTTGCTACCCCAACATGATGTAAATCTCTTGCTGGCGGGAAATAAATACTATCCCCCCTTAAAACTATACACTCAACTACTAACACCATATTCTTTCAGTTACACAGTATTTAGCTTAGGTCTCAAACTAAAAATAAAAAAAAACATACACTAAATCACTGTAAATTAATGGTTAAAATCATAATGCACCAGAAAAGAAAATTATGGTATTTTAATGGGCATTTTTGTGGTAAGTACTTGTAGAAATTACAGCAAAGTCTAAGAGTCAAATGTGTAATTTTCAACATTTTGATATGTTGACTATGTCCTTTTCGCAAATGATCACATTCTGTTTTTCTGGTTGCTATTTGTATATTTTGCACAATACCCCATCTTTTTTTCTGTTTCTGTTTTGGGTTGTGTAATTAATATAGAACGACACATCTTAAATGTTCTAAAAAGTTGTTTGTATGTTTGTTTGTTTTTTTACAGGAGTATATGCTGCTGCTACTTCTCCTCCTCCGCTCCGTCTTCATCATCAGAGCCACTCAGTGGGGTTTTTTTGGCCTTCTTCTGCATTTTCTTTGCTGCCTTTTTTGTCACTTTTTGGTTCCTTGTTGATTTCTTTGGCTTTATGTTTTACTTTTCTTTGCATTTTTATATATTTTTTTTTTAACAACAGCACCACAACACGTTGTTAATTGCATTAAACTGCAATAAGTTCATTTTGTTACCAATAAAAAGGGTCATTTTTATAACCAATTCAGTTTGTCTGTTGTGCCGTCTCTTAATGCAATTCAACAATGAATAGGCCATTTCCCAATCTTAAAATTTGAGTGTAAGGTTGGTAAACCTATTTATTTAGGCTATAAGTTTGCGAAGGTCTGCTGACTGTCCAATGACATGGTTGGCCCAATGTTGTTTTAGTGGTTTTTAGGTTGGCCGAAGGTCTGCTGGCTGTCCATAAACATGGTTGGCCCAACGTTGGCCCAATGTTGTTTTAGTGGTTTTTAGGTTGGCAGAAGGTCTGCTGACTGTCCATAAACATGGTTGGCCCAACGTTGGCCCAATGTTGTTTTAGTGGTTTTTAGGTTGGCAGAAGGTCTGCTGACTGTTCAATGACATGGTTGGCCCAACGTTGGCCCAACGGACAAAATTACGTTGGGCCAACGTCAGCACCCAACGTTGGCCCAACACAACAACAGACGTTGGGCCAACGTTGGGCCAACGTCGGCTTGCTACCTGGGTAGATAGATAGATATATAGATAGATAGATTATTAGATATATACATAGATTAATAGATAGATGCATATAATAGATTTTCATTTTCATTCAGAGCCACAAATGTCAACATCAGGCCCATCATCATCAACACCAGTAGAAACACAGGATAGTTTATGGGAACATTTTGATAATCGTATCCGTGAAACCCAGATGATACACAATGCTACACCTGATGCCACAGTGGAAGTGAAAAAATACCTCAACGATGCGTTTTTGCCCAGAACTCATGATCCACTAATTTCAAAGGCTGGAGAAATTAACTGTAAAAAAAAAGAAGAAAGCTGAGTCCTTCGACAGCAGAGAAATTTATATTTTTGAATAAAAATCTATAAGAAAGTGAGACATTGTGGCTTTATTTCTTTTATTCATTTTTCATGACCAAAATAACATTATGCAATGTGAAGAGACTACAGGTTACAAGCTTCATATATTAAAAACATACAATAAAAATACAAATAAGAAAAAAACAGGGTTTTTTCGGCTCGTTGTATTAAAAATCAAAGTTGTTTCAGATCAACACCTGCAAGTGACCACTAGGTGTCACCGTGGAGACGGGTGTCGGATTGATTCGAAGCCTCGAAACAATATGGCACGTTTGCTTCAACTGTTTCATTGCTTCACGAAGCCTCGATCTGCCCATCACTAATCAGAAGGAGTGTTTATCAGGCATGTTGATATTCTAGAATATAATGTCATGTAATCATGTCATGATCCTGGTATTCTCCTTCCTTTCTCTGTCTCCCTCTTCTGGTCACACACGCTATTATCTTTCATTCATTCACTCTCACACACACACACACACACACACCCTCTGTGCAGACACACCCATTTACTATTACTCTCTTCATTCTCTGCCAGCCGTCTCATCATTTATCGCTATTGCATTCATCCCCTTCTCACCTGCTACCTCTTTACCTCTGATTAGTCTTCCTACTTCTTGTTCGTTCTTCCACCTCTCCTTTGCCAGATTATTATCAATTACGTACGTGTCTGACTGTTCTCCCGTTTATCTTGTCCTGTCTTGTTTGGTGAGTCCTGTCCTGCAGGCTTCTCTGATTGTGTGTTCGCTAAAGTTATATTCTGTCCAGTTATCCTGCTATTGAAGACAAGAGACGGGTTCCTTACCTGAGTTCCTGACCGCAGCTGCTGGGGCTCTGCTTTTTCCTTCGTTGTCTCTCCGGGACCCGCCAGCCCAGCCCAGGGTTACTTTTGTTTGCTGCTTATATTGAGAGACTTTCTGTTGCTAGCCCTACAAGGCGCATTTCTTGGTTATATTAAAGACATTGTTATTCTGCTATCGCTCTTGGGTCCTTCCTCCAGACACCTCTGACGAATCATAAGGTTATGAAATAATTTTAGATCACCACTAACAACTACAGGAAGCTGCTTGGTATAGACACTTTCAATCTCTGAAATACTACTTATGCAAATGGAATAAATAAACTTTAAATTATTGACCTAAAGCATTAAAGTATGTCTGCAGATTATGGAGAAATTGTTAGGATGTGACAGGCTTTGAGAGAGAGAGATGAGGTAAGTGTCAACACAGTGATTTAGTTATTTGCAGGTGAATATAACACACATAAGTGAATGGTAGCATTATACTGAGGGCAAATTCCAAATGGAAGTGAGTCTTTGAAGTGAGCAGGGCACTTGCGTGATATTATGTAGCCGTTTGGACCGCACTTGGTGAAGGGAGTGATGAAATACAATGTAATTTCCTCATTATCTTCACCTGGAAATGTTCCCACTCATATTTTTTTTATTATAGACAGGAGATAAAGATAACAAAGGCGCTTTACCTTCGTCAGTGAAATATATATACAGTATAAAGCCTATGTGTGTGTGTGTAGCCTATTTCTCTGCTCACAACTTTAAAACTTGCTGTGTGTCATCTTTGACCCTGCATTACCTAACACATTTCTTACCTATGAAACTTAACATGACAACAATTTGTGAAATATATCACAAACAAAACAAAACAACTTGAATTGCTCTGTTGGTTAGTTAACTCGAACTCTCCCACCATCTAGCTTTAAAATGAATCACGAGTATTCTATTGGAAAATAGCCCAAGATCATTTAAGAACATTTTCTTTAATCTCACTTGCAATGTACTTTGAAAAATACACACGCACCACAAGAATCCAATGTGCTCCAACATTCACAGGCCACAGCCAAATGTCCTCAATGGGAAACTTCAGTGAAAAGTGTTTAATAACAAGTTTGTGATGGTTCCAAAACACGTAAATTATATCTACATTATTACATTCTGGAAAGCTAAATTACCTTCCCCAGGCAGCTGAACTGTCCAGCAAACAACAAACGTGCAACAACTGCACAAAGCTGGTGTACGTGGTTCTGAATAAAAAAAAATAAAAAAATAAAAAACATTTTGTAATTATATAAAATTAAATTATTGTTCCTAAATAAGTAGACATTCTATACATACCTGTTGTTTTTCAACAACCAGGTGCAGGTATGCATCAATGACCTAAATTAAGAAAAATAAACATGAATATAAACAAACAAAACTTTGTTTTTGTGAGGGGAAAAAAATATTTTTCAATTGGGTGACTCTTAAAATCATGTTTTGGGTTTATAAGTCATTTAGACAACCGGCCGATTGGAAAGAAAGGCCACCCATAGCATACAAATAAATAACTTACTTCATCAGAAAGCCATCCCTTGCAGTGAGTGAAAAGAAGAGTCATAGAGCTTATATGGCCCAACAACTGCTTCAACCTGACCAGTGACATTTGCTGCCAAGACCTTCATTACTGAAAAAGAAAGCCAAAGTTAGTTTGTTAATCATTTTTCTAATTACGAAAAAGTCTGTTCTTGTAACATATGAAATATGATTTTCGAAAGACAAGTTGCGGTCTAGTATAACACCCAGGTCTTTTACTGTAGTGGGTAAAGTAACAGGACATCCATCTTAATTTAAAGTTGTATTGTAAGAGGTTTTGTGGGTAGTTCTTTGGACCAATAAGTAATACCTCCATTTTATCTGAATTTAATAGCAGGAAATTACACGTCATCCAGCATATTATATCTTTAAGACACTCTGTCAATTTAGATAAGTTAGTGTTTTCATCTGGTCGTGATGAAATATATAATTGAGTGTCATCAGCATAACAGTGGAAATTAATTCCATGTTTTCTTATAATATTACCAAGTGGCAGCATATATATTGAGAATAGCAGAGGGCCTAACACCGATCCTTGCGGCACTCCATAGTCTACTGACGTTATCTTCGATTTTTCCCCATTTAAACAGACAAAATGGTAACGGTCTGATAAGTACGATCTAAACCAGCTTAATACCTGTCCCTGAACACCAGTGTAGTTTTGTAGTCGATCCAAGAGTATTTTGTGATCTATAGTGTCGAACGCAGCGCTAAGATCGAGTAGAACTAGTATTGAGATACAGCCTTGGTCAGAAGCTAAAAGTAAATCATTTGTAATTTTAACTAGCGCAGTTTCTGTGCTATGATGCGGTCTGAATCCTGACTGAAATTTTTCATAGATATCATTTTCTTGCAAGAAAGAGCACAATTGAGCGGACACAATTTTTTCTAGTATTTTAGACATAAATGGAAGATTTGAAATGGGTCTGTAATTTGCTAGGTTATTTGGATCTAATTGCGGTTTCTTAATGAGAGGTTTTATTACTGCCAGCTTGAATATTTTTGGAACATGACCTAAAAAGGAGCTTCTCAGAATCATTTACCTTGGTCACAGAATGCTGATGGCTGAG